GCCCACAGCACAGCAGCTGTTTTGTTCGCTCAACGAGTCGCGTCTCCTCGGGCATAAGCCCGTACGCCCAGGCGTCTCTTACGTCGCCGCTTCATCCCATACATACATCACCTTTGGCAGTCCCTAGACTCGCTTCCTGTCGACTTTTTGGGCATCGCGACCTCTCCAGCAATACCCACTGCTTACCAACGCACCTCGCCAACTAGACGACTGGCCGGCTGCCAAGTAACCCTGTCACGACTGTCGTCATAAAGACCCGCCACCCACCACGACAAACAGCGGCCTCGTCTTCACACCACCCAAACTCCCACTCTGTTCAAGCCTTGTGCTCGCCCATAAAATGAACAGCGCACCTCAGTCTAGAGTCGGCTCAGTGTCGAGCTCGAAACCCCCGTCTTTAAAGTCCCACGACGACTCCGTCAAGCGATCACCGCACATGAACCCGCAGAACGGCCAAACCAACGGCACCGCCAGTCGGAATGGTAGTGTCTCGAGCAGCGTCAACGGCAAGACCTCACCTCCTCCCGACGCTCTCCTCCAGCCTGTCGCCCGCCCCACCGTGTCCATGAAGGACAAGCTCTCCCGCATGTTCTCCCATCGTGAAACACCACGGTCAACACCCTCCGTCACGCCACGTCGTGCCAGCTTCGATGATGACGCAGCGAGACCAAAGAAGAGCTCGCCGCCGATACCGCGCAGTACGCCCGCCAACGGCAACGAGAAGGCGAGCGAAAAGTCTGCCCCTGCGGTCAAGCCAAAACCCAAGGAACTGCACCGCTTCATGCCCGATGAAGATGTCCAGGGTGGCCACTCACACCACCTCAAGTCCAGTCGCCGGCAGGAAAAGCTTTCGGATATGTGGCGCATGTTGCTCGGAAAGAAGCAGGAAATTGCAGAAAACGACCTGTCACTCGTCTCTAATTGGGTCGATACGCTGAGGGATGAGAACCGCGATGATGTGGCTGGAGACAGGAAAGGCGGACCCAACGCGTCAGTCTCGCTGACACAAAAGTACGGAAAATGCCACGAAGTTGTCGGACGTGGCGCCTTTGGCATTGTGCGCATCTCTCACAAGAAAGCTGAGAATGGCGCCGAGAAACTGTTCGCCGTCAAGGAGTTCCGTCGCCGTCCAGAGGAGACGGAGAAGAAGTACAGCAAACGTTTGACAGCCGAGTTCTGCATTTCGTCGTCCCTGCGACATCCCAACGTCATCCACACGCTCGACCTTTTGAAGGACGCCAAGGGCGACTACTGCGAAGTCATGGAGTTCTGCGCAGGCGGTGACCTGTACACGCTGGTGCTAGCCGCCGGCAAGCTCGAGGTCCAAGAGGCGGACTGCTTCTTCAAGCAAATGATGCGCGGCGTGGAATACCTACACGAGATGGGCGTCGCCCATCGTGACCTGAAGCCCGAGAACCTCCTCCTCACCACACGTGGTGGCCTCAAGATTACTGATTTCGGCAACGGCGAGTGTTTCCGCATGGCGTGGGAGACCGACCCCCACATGGTCTCTGGTCTCTGCGGATCGGCCCCATACATCGCGCCTGAAGAGTACGTGGACAAGGAATTCGACGCCCGCGCCGTTGACGTTTGGGCATGTGGTGTCATTTATATGGCCATGCGGACCGGCCGTCACCTTTGGCGCGTCGCCAGGAAGGACCAGGATGAGTTTTACGCACGCTATCTCGCCGGACGCCGTGATGAAGAGGGGTACGGTCCCATCGAGTCCTTGCACAGAGTGAGCACCCCCGTACGAACCGGATGTAATTGTCTCAGCCTAACATGTCCCAAGGCCCGCTGTCGGAATGTCATCTATTCGATCCTAGACCCGAACCCCACGCGGCGTATCACGGCCTCACAGGTTCTCAAGTCCGAGTGGGGTCGCGAGATTACCCTCTGCAAGGCCGGCGAGGAAGGTCTGTGATCGTCAACGGACAGAACGCCCCCTCCAACCCCGGATCGGCAACCATGTGAACGATATGATTGACCAGGACTCGAGCAATTTCTTTCTTTCCCTCCCCGTGACAACAGCAACGATTGCCGAGTTGGTATACGCGCAGCGAAAGAGCATCGGCGTTTGGCGTTGAACGAAAGCTTCCTTGGGGGCATTGGGACCTCCCACACCCTCTGCCAACCCTAACCCTTTATTCATTTTATTTTATCTTAGTTTATTTTTTTGGTTTATGCATGCCACGCACAGTACATAGGAGAATATCCGCGTTGCTCTCGTGAGACAAGCATTGGTGGGGTGACTGACGCTTGAGGATTGAAGGCATGATGTTACAGGCACAAGCCCTGATGTTGGGAAGTGTGCTTGCTTGAGGTGAAGCAGGTCCCACAGCCGTGTAGAAAGAAAGCCTGTTCTATAGTTAACCAACGATGGCCTGTGATGAATCCAGGCATACAGAAATAGTTCGAGGCTGCCTTCTTCGTCTGTGATGGGGTGAATTCTTGATTCAGCATTTGCGTTTCATAGGCGTAGGTTGTCCGAGCCTTCCGCCGACAGACGTACTAGCTGAGGTCGTCGTTACGTCCCTCGAGCTGTGATGATCTACTTCAGACACTCATTGCTACCCATCTGTCTGCAAGGGCGCTCCATCGTAACCGTCAACCCACCATCTTGAAAGCCCTTGTCACAATGAGGAGAGCGAAACCCCAAAGGGATCCTGGCGCTCATGGCTTCTATATGAAGGAACTCCATACGTAGCCCGCCCCCCTCCAGCTGCCCCCTCTATGCGTTCGACAACGACAACGTGCGCCACTACCACGCAGCGCCCCCAAGGTCCGTCGGCGCCCAGAAGGGGGGGGAGAGGGAACAAGTGGTCAGGCCTCCAAACAGGCAGAGGGAGGCACACGACATGCGCCAGCGAAGAGGTACCCAGGTCGTTCATGCGAGCTGCGCACGGCATAAGCTGCGCGAGGCATATATACCCGGAAAGACCTATGCTCCAGCAGGAGGCGGGTTGATGAAGAAGGGGAGCGACAAACAGCAAACAGCCTCTCCTTTCTCTCCACGTCTTGCCTTGCCGAGCACCGGACATCTCTCGCTCGCTTCCGCGGAAATCGCCTTCCGGGGGCGACTTGCCCGTGCATACTGCACAGAGGCGAGGCCGCGCCAAGTCCTAGTGGCTCGGCAAAGTAGACGAGATGCGTGGCATGCTGCTCGAACTGTGCACCCGTGGGGGCCGTAGATATCCTGTCCAGCACTATATGAT